CATGATAGAGGGAGGGCACAGTCACGGTAGATAGGGGATATGGGCATTGTACAAGATATGGACATGGTACAGACTGATCTTAACCATGATAGAGAGAGGGCACAGTCACGGTAGATAGGGGATATGGGCATTGTACAAGATATGGACATGGTACAGAGTGATCACAACCATGATAGAGAGAGGGCACAGTCACGGTAGATAGGGGATATGGGCATTGTACAAGATATGTACATGGTACAGGGTGGACACAACCATGATAGAGGGAGGGAAGGGTCATGGTAGATAGGGGATATGGGCATTGTACAAGATATGGACATGGTACAGGGTGGACACAACCATGGTAGAGGGAGGTAAGGGTCATGGTAGATAAATTATATGGACATGGTACAGAGTTGACACAACCATGATAGAGGGAGGGCACAGTCACGGTAGATAGGGGATATGGGCATTGTACAAGATATGTACATGGTACAGGGTGGACACAACCATGGTAGAGGGAGGTAAGGGTCATGGTAGATAAATTATATGGACATGGTACAGAGTTGACACAACCATGGTAGAGGGAGGGCACAGTCACGGTAGATAGGGGATATGGGCATTGTACAAGATATGGACATGGTACAGAGTGATCTCAACCATGATAGAGGGAAGGCACAGTCATGGTAGATATAAGATATGGGCATGGCACAGAACGGACTCAACCATGGTACAGGGAGGACACATTCATGGTAGATAGGGGATATGGGCATTGTACAAGATATGGACATGGTACAGAGTGATCTCAACCATGATAGAGGGAGGGCACAGTCATGGTAGATAGAAGATATGGGCATGGCACAGAGTGGACTCAACCATGGTACAGGGAGGGCACAGTCATGGTAGATAGCGGATACATGAGCATTGTACAGAGTAGACTCAACCATGGTAGAGGGAGGACAACATCGTAGAAGACAGACCTTAACCATAGAGTTATGACACACCAATGTTAGAGGACTTACATGAAGGGACTCCTGTGGATCTCCCTCCTCAGACTTCCCTGCACATGCACTACAATGAGACACATTCACAGTCAGTTCCTGACTAGGCTTCATTGGCATTACATTTACTTTTAACAAAAATGACTCAATGACACAAATATTTTAGTTTCAACATTTTAACAAAAATTAAATTATCTATCATATGAATAGTGATAAAAAATCAGGTAAACTTAATATTTGATGAATAATTATGAAGAAGCAAAACAGACCCAATTAAAGAAAGTGAAACGCCTCAGAAAGGATTTTTTTCATGCTATTTCTTTATTTTCCCAACCTGTAACTTCCCAGCAGCTTTTCATATTCCTTCAATTCAGGCGGTATATATTATAGGAGAAACTGAGAAAGTCAGCAGGCAAACCTGGCATATTCCTCCCGTACAAGCTTAAGGACTCGTCGCACCATGTTACCCACAGCTGTTTCTGACGGTTGTGACATCATCATCTTCCTGCCATCCTCTTTCAGAACCTCCATCACATCCCTGATTTAATGGTATACAGATCTCAAATAATTGTGGTCAGTACAGATAGGTGAAAAAGAACTGGACAAACTCACAATTATGACCATATGCATAGTATTTGGATGGGAACTTTTTAGATTATTCATCTTTGACTATTCCATGATTTGAATAAATGCTTGACATTTCTACTTCTTTCTGCAATCCACATCAAATTAACATCATTATATCAGAGAAGAGAGCAATCTATCCATTCATAACACTAGTATTATGTGACGGATGTTTCAGTGTTGAGAATATTATACAAGTGTGGCAGATTTTAATTGTACATAGGATTATGGTTGCCTTTTAGCTTCAAACTAGTGGGAATTTACCCTTTAACTCAGTATTAGAGCATCCGACTAGGTTGGGGGGCGGTGGAAACACACTATTCTCTTTCCTGTTACACATATATGCATGTAGCTGATGCGCATGACTTTTAAAATGTACATGATTGAACTTACTTTGCAGTTTGCCATTTCCGTTGTGCTATGATTTTCCTCAGCAAGCAAACAGTCTTCAAGGCAACATAATAAGAACTTTGGCTGGTTCTGCAGAAACCAAATTTACATGTACATAAATATTGTTTTAACAATTTTGTGCAAACAAAGTAGTATGTACTAACCTCTACTAAACATACTTATCGCATAATATAATACAGTATCTATAATGGCACTGGAGCAGTATATTATTACCGGGTATGTGGTTATTGTTTCCTATGGGCTGTTACCTGTGCTGCATGACACCACAATATGGTCACCGTATATAATGCTACCAGTCAGTGTACAAATACTGATATTTACCCCTGTTTCAATTCACTAATGAAACTCTCTATCTCTTCTTTCAAGTCGTCTTTCTTGTCACTTTCACTGGGCATCTTAAATTATAAGTTTCTGTCTGCAATCTGAGGCAATCCCTTCTAACCGGAAGTAGAAATCCCCGATTTCAACCAATAAGAAAACGTCTTTTCTGCGGGATCGCAAGATGGATGCGCCCATGAAGTCAACATCGCACAACGTGTGAAACTGAAAAGTAATGTTTTTTAAGACTATTCGAAACAAATGGAAACAGTATAAGTTCCGGTTTATACCGTGGATTGCTCTTAATCTAAAAGACAGGTAGAGTATATTTTTGACAGGTATTTCTTTGTATGTAGCAGCGTCCTTGGTTGCCCTGTTCTGGCTACGAAGTAGCGCGTGTCGTCTGCTAATTTCTGACAGGAACCATGTATACAAAACACAGACATAAAGTCTCAATTGAAAATGTTATCTAGATACTAGTGGTTTTGTTTCAGTCCCAGCCATCTGGGTCATTGCATTTTCCTTTCCTATTAAATCTGTTGTCAGACAATGGACAGAGTCAATCATAAATGCCTTGATGTGCCATGTTCAAAACCCCCTGAATATGCCTGTTGTAGTTACAATTTTAATAATAACCACAATTAAAATTATATGTACCTTAACAAACTAAGCCCCTGAGTGTCACTTGGGTAATTTAGCTGAGAGAGCATACATGTAATTTAACTTCACAAGGCCTTTAGCTTTTCAAGTATATTCCCACACTTTTTAAAAATATGAAAGGATCATTTCAAGTATAATAGGATATTATTGAGACATTATGACTAGCTAGGTCTTAAAAAAACAAATTGTGGGAGGGTAGGTTGTTCACTTCTCACGTTTGTATTACTTTGTTAAGTATAATTGTTGTTTATGATTTAGAGACAGGGCTCTGTTACTTTCTGTGTTATTCACCCTTATGTAGGGTAGGGCTTTTCGTTCAGTGTAGGATTCCTGGCGATCAGCTGCTACGATACCGGTGTTTACACTTTTGAGACGGCCGGAAGTGGGTGATAGTAATAACAGGAATAGGTTCCCGCTCCTTGCTCATGATCACATGCTTTTAGATGGTGGGGCTGGGTTCAAGATTAACAGTTGATCACTCATCTTCGAGGCTATTTGGTGGGGGGAGCAGGGTATATAAAACAGCGGGTCCGGGCGGGGATCAGTGTCTTGACAGGGTCGGTGAGCCGACCCACTTCTCCTGGTGAGGAGAACATTACCGCCTCATGCGCTGTAAACAGTGCAAAACATGGGCCGAGGTGCTGCTAACAGTACCAATACCGTAGGACTACATGAAGTTATCGTTCCTGGGATATATAGAGTGCTATAGGAACTACAGTACATGTATTAAGGGATAGTCAGGGGCTTCGGGCTTAGGCATCGATACATGGTGATTCGCTGTAGATCTATAGGGAGCTAGGAGCACATGGTCATAGTCTACTGGTAGTACTGTTACTAGGATAGGCCATTACTCTACATACATAGGGATCAGGTTTCTTAACATTAGCTGTCATTGTTTGGCACTAATGCTATGCTTTGTATTTGTTAAACTTGTTGTACATATTCATTCCGTCTTGTTAATAAACAGTTACTTGTATTTTAAACACCTTGTTGAGTTATTGAATCAATTGGTTGTATTACCACTACATCCAGTGTTTGAACCTGTAGTGAAAACAGGTCTGTAACCTGACGAAAGAGGCGAGGTCTAGAGAGGACTGCAGGGGAAGTTGTCGACTCGTTACCATTGCTAAAAACTATACGATCACGAAACGGATTTCACGGAGTGACAACGGATGCAAAACCCTCTCCAGACCTCCACCTATTACAAAATAAACAATATAATAGACGTAATGATAAATAAATTATATCTCTGAATCCTTGTTATATTTTATATTTCAACGTCAATAAATATTCAAAAAGTTGAGTCAAGATTTTAAATTGAAAACATACCTGTATAACATTACCATCTAATTTTTTTCAGGAGTGTGAGATCAGTTGCTCCCAGTGAAAAAGATAAACTATTTAACGACTCACAAGTAGAACAATTTCTCTTGCACTTTTTTGAAAATCTTGAAAAAGTAAGACAATCAAATGCTCAGACCTCAGATGATGGCGATTTGTGGAAACCTCAGAAACTCACCAAGGAAGAACAGTACCTACAACACAGAAATAACTTAAGAATGATGGAGGATTGTGTTGGCTTCATTGTAGAAAGAAAGCAAAGTTTGATACCTGGAGGTGGAACAGGTGTGTTTGTGACAAAGGGTCAAGTACCAAAAGGAACAGTGGTGTCCATGTACCCTGGCACTTTGTACAGGCTTGGGGAACCTATCCTGTTACAGAGCCTGGCTAACCCATTCATATTTCGCTGTATTGATGCTGTCCTAATTGATGGAAATGATAAGAATATTTCTAAATCCATTTATATGTGAGTATAACTGAAGTACGACAATTTAGCCTGCACCTTTTAATATTTATAATTTTAGATAATGTACGTCTGTTTATATCCTTAAGTCATAAAATTGTTTTTACTTTGAAGGTTATGTCTGTTCATTGAAGGTCATGTTTGTATATTAAAGGTCATGTTTGTACATTAAGGTCATGTTTGTTGATTGAAAGTCATATTTGTGCATTGAAGGTCATATTTGTGCATTAAAGGTCATGTTTGTACACTGAAGGTCATTTTTTTTTACATTTATGGTTACATTTGTACATTGAAGGTTATATTTGTACTTTGAAGGTCATGTTTGTACATTGACGGTCATGTTTTTTACATTGGAGGTCATGTTTATACATTGAAGGTCATGTTTGTACATTGAAGGTCATGTTTGTACATTGAAGGTTATGTTTATACATTGCTGGTCATGTTTTTACATTGAAGGTCATATTTGTAAATTTAAGGTTATATTTGTACATGAAAGGTCATGTTTTTACATTCAAGGTCATGTTTGTACATTCAAGGTCATGTTTATATATTGAAGGTCATGTTTATATATTGAAGGTCATGTTTGTACAATAAAGATAATGTTATTACATGGAAGGTCATATTTGTTCATTGAAGGTCATGTTTGTACATTGAAGATCATGTGGTCAGCGAGACAGACATGGACCTTACTTGACCTGTGACCTGTCCTGGGTTACACAATATCCCATCAATCCATTGGCTGTTGGACAGTATGTGAACAACCAATCAAAACGTAAGTACAAGCAAAACAGTTACAGCAGAACCTTCTTTCTCTGGGCATATAGTTTCTAAAGTCAAAATTAAAAATTAGGAACAACAATTTTCTTATATTACATTGTTAAGGTGACAGATGATTGTTCAATGAAGCATATATGATAAATCTATTATTAAAATAAATGTTGAATAATAAGAAGTGTTTAATTGGATTTTCCATGAGATTAACTGATTCAAAGATGGATGATATATAAGTATTGAGCTTAAATGAACAAACAAGCTTTGTTGATGTAGAAATTTGTTCTTGAATATATTTTGTTGATGATATATTTTGTTAATCTTTGAACTAATATATATATAACTGGCAGCTAGATTGAAAACAATTATTTGTTGGTAGTGTTTCCAGCTAATGTGGCCTACCAGGAGTTTGACATCCCTCTGCAGTTTCCCTTCCACTTAAGGAAATATATCCCTAACATCAACTATAGTTCATCTATACAGGAGATTTCAGGACAGCACAGGTGAGCTTCAAGTTGAGTAATCATATGTTATGTGATATTGTATTCGGCAAAGAAATGCAGGAAAAATTGCACGTGTTCATTAGATATTGCATTAACAGTATCTAACACAAGCAGTTTTTAAACATTTCATTTATGTCCATCAAAACTTTGTTTTATTTTATCTTCCAGGCAGACAAGAGTTGTGGTTCTTGTGTCACTGAGGACGATTGAAGAAGGGGAAGAACTCTTCTCAAGTTATTTTACTGTTGTACATTGATAGTGTGTTATGACTGAAATAAAAAAAAATACATATATTTGTGAATTCACTTATTTCTATTAACACCTGAAATGTGAATCTATTTTAAGGATGAGTCTGATTATATGTAAAATTTAATGTTCGGTATGTATCACAAGGACCTGAGGATTTATTACAGCTATATTTGGACCTAAACTAAGGCGTTCAGAGTAACTTTACATGTTTTAGGGGTTTAGCTTGACTTTCGGTAAAATGCCACCCCAATGCTTATATACGAGCGTAAATGAGCATTGGGTTGGCATTTTTACTGAAAGTCGATCTAAAACCCTAAAATACAAACAATTACTCCCAACACCTTAGTTTAGGTCCAAATATAGCTGTAACCAATTCTCAGGTCCCTGTTGTATGTAGGTATTGGGAGATATCACGTTTTATTCTCAAATAATCCACATCATAGTGACTCAAACATTCTGTTCTGAGTCTGGTTTCTTTTGTTATTTAGAACACATTCGTAACATGAGATCATTATACAATACACGATTTGTACTTTCACTTCAAATACATTTATATGACCTATCCTAAATTAGGGTTTTGTCCTTAGCCTCTGTATTTTATCATTTTCTCTGTTACCGCTAATTTTCCGAATTTTTGTAAACTTAAATATGGTCATTATTTTATTGCTATTATCGATTAAAAGTAACTAAATAAAATACGGAGAGTGTATTATATGTGGTAATCTTAGCTCGTTTTGATACGTGTATAAGTCCCATCTCCATAAAAGTAAGCTGTTCTGGGGCCATAATATTTCTACTTGGGGATGCAGGACTTGTCTACTTCAAATATAGTATATATGATGTGCCTTCCTCAGCGACACGCGTACATAAATAGGTTCCACCTTTTAGTTGACCCTGATAGGTAAAGTTGTTTGACTTTAAAGACAGCTTAAGTACGGACTTGCGCTTGATCCAAAACCGCATTTTATAACTGTGATACTTTCATTGTTGTTACACGCTGTTCGGTTTTGTCTGATTTGAATGTCTGTGTCGAAACCAATGACGGATTACGAAAACGCAAGGAAAAGTGGGCACATACCGTGCTGTATGTTATCAAGTAAAATATGTGAGGGCGAGAAAAGGAAGGTACTGAACTGGAAAATTCATCAATACTCGTAAGGAAGATATATGACATTTTTAAATCTTTGTTCGTGCAATCTTAAAAATATATGTACATTTCCTCAGCAGGTTTAAACATATTCTATTGCCAAAAAAATGCAAAAGGATTGGGTACAAGTTACATGAACATTATTAACGCCCTTTCCTCAGCAAGTTCCTCTATAAGCATTACAAGAAGAAATTGCGTTCATTTTTTGGCTCTTATTTTTCGTTTTATTGCTCCAGAAATAGTTGTCATACATAAGTTTTAGTTCTTAGTGCTGCTTACTTTCTTTTGTGTAATCTTTCTGTTTTATGCTGTACACTCCTAATTATTGTTTCATAAATGTTTGTTTGTTGTTTTAGATTATGCTATATTAGCATGTATTCTGTCAATTTTTAGTTTTCGGCATATTGGCATATATGTACATTAGACTGAAACGTCTCTTAAATTAATATACATGCTGCATGAGCTTTATGTTTGCATGACCTTTAATCTCCGTGCTATTTTACTTTTTATTCAACTTTATGTGATGCATGCTACCTTTGTGATATTTTGTTGTTTCTATTAATTTTTATTTTTATATAGTCGTAAGGTTAGCTCTTCTGAGCTAAAGTTGCATTGTTACAAACATGACTCTAACTAAGAATTCTTGTATCTTGTATGGGGCTATGAACGTAATTTGATCACTGTCATTTCAAGCTTCCCTCTTCCGCCTCGATTAACCCTAAAAGCAAACACTTGATGACGTTAGGCTGTTCCAGAAATCTCGTTTGCACTGATGACACAGAGACTTCAATGTCGAAAATATAAAGGAATACCTACGCGAAGATCAATAATAGCAATGACATTTAGAATGTAAATATATGTACTGCATTTATGTTCATGCCCTTAGCCCTTTTGCATACATATTCCTTGAAACCCGCTAAGCTAAGGGCTCCGTGGAATATATACATGTAACCGATTTGCGATCATTACGGCATGGACATTGAAATATGCCATTCAAACCTCATATAACATTATCTCTCTAAACGTTCATGGAGCTATAATGCCAACGTAATAGTGCACATTATGACGTATGCCTGCAGAGCTGTGTCATTCTTATAGACTGTACATGCCATATCAACAAAGTGCCGTGCTTAATTTGAATAATCTTTTTCAACGTTCTTGTAGATAAAACACAACACTTTCTTCTCTGTTTCATATTTTTGTTCCATTTGACTACAGAAATCGATAAAATGTATTTACATCGAAAATTCATGTATTTTTTTCTCTCACTTGCAACATGCTGACTAGAGTTTTCTCATGATCTCCATTCAGTGGCTCTATTTTATTTAAAAACGTGATATCCATTAATATGTTTAAATCCCACTCTCGATTTATATGTACATATATTTAATCATATTCGAGTTGCCTATTCTAGTATAAACATTGGGATCTCGCGTTGACAGCTCGGTATTACCACAGTATTGAGAGGTGGTAGCGGGCGCGATAACACGAGAAAATACTTCTGCCTGGCTACCAAGCTTATCTCTTCTGGTGTATCCTTTATCCCTAGTGGTTAGGAAGACATATTTATACCTGGACAAGATAGCTCGGGGATCATCGCAGCAGGTGTGGCACAGGTGTGTATAAAACATATTAATTATAATCCAGTTATTTTTTGTAAAAATGGAACAACAGGTTTCATTATATTGCTGTGTTGCATTCGGAACACTATACTATACTGAGAGAACTGATGGTACATGCAGTTATTCTGGTTTAAATTCTCGTACAAGTTTCTCAAGGGGTAACACTCACTGATAACACCATCGTAGGTAGTTAACCACCATCGTTGGTGGCATTACAGAGGCGTGGCAAAGTACGTTACCAAATCCGGTCGGTAAAGTCCGAAATTCCCCTTTTTATATACAGCTATTTAATATACTTTAGAAATATTCGTTAAATGTCAATTGATTTGTGTCCAGGTCTCGTCCAGTAATTACTCAACGACATAAAACCCAGTAGTGTTACATGAGGCGTATATCAGTATGACATTGTTGCTAGCACGTGCGGTTGGGCGGCATTTCAAAGAACTGAACATTATTATCGATTGTATCACAAAATTTGAACACCCATTACTGGTAGCAGTAGAAAGGATGAACACTATTATTTGTTCATCACAAATGCTTGCTGGCACCACAAAGGTTGAGCATCATCAATGGCGTCATGTAAATTGGTGGCATCGTAAAGGCATCAAGGTTATGTTTATGACAACACACAGGCATAACCCCGCCATTGGTGGCATCGTAAAGGCATCAACGTTATGTTTATGACAGCACATAGGCATTACTCCGCCATTGGTGGCATCGTTAAGGCATCAAGGTTATGTTTATGACAACACACAGGCATAACCCCGCCATTGGTGGCATCGTAAATGCATCAAAGTTATTTTTATGACAGCACACAGGCATAACCCCGCCATTGGTGGCATCGTAAATGCATCAAAGTTATGTTTATGACACCACACAGGCATAACCCCGCCATTGGTGGCATCGTAAAGGCATCAAAGCTATGTTTATGACAGCACACAGGCATAACCCCGCCATTGGTGGCATCGTAAATGCATCAAAGTTATGTTTATGACACCACACAGGCATTACCCCGCCATTGGGGGCATCGTAAAGGCATCAAAGTTATGTTTATAACAGCACACAGGCATTACCCCGTCATTGGTTGCATCGAAAAGGCATCAAAGTTATGTTTATGACAGTACACAGGCATTACCCCGCCATTGGTGGCATCGGTAAGGCATCAAAGTTATGTTTATGACAGTACACAGGCATTACCCCGCCATTGGTGGCATCGTTAAGGCATCAAGGTTATGTTTATGACAGCACACAGGCATTACCCCGACATTGGTGGCATCGTAAAGGCATCAAGGTTATGTTTATGGCAACACACAGGCATAACCCCGCCATTGGTGGCATCGTAAATGCATCAAAGTTATTTTTATGACAGCACACAGGCATAACCCCGCCATTGGTGGCATCGTAAATGCATCAAAGTTATTTTTATGACAGCACACAGGCATAACCCCGCCATTGGTGGCATCGTAAAGGCATCAAAGTTATGTTTATGTCAGCACACAGGCATTACCCCGTCATTGGTGGCCTCGTAAAGGCATCAAAGTTATGTTTATGACAGCACACAGGCATTACCCCGTCATTGGTGGCATCACAAAGGGTTGAATACCAGCATTGATTGCATCAGACAGCTGCACATATTCATTCAGCATCTAAATCATATGTAGTACCATGTTATTAGTTTACGGAATCGTCTGCCGGTATATATTTAGAATCGCCTGTTTAACCACGAATAATGATTTTATTACAGTGTTATGTTTGTCCTATTAGAACGGCACAATACTATAAATATAAAATAAGCAAACTCAGATGAGAAGAATACTGGCGGTTAACTCCACGCTCACATTCACGATTTTAGAAATCTTAATTTTTCTGTGTTTTGTTCTTTAAATGAGAAGATACTGTTGATAAAGGGGGGGGGGGGGGGGGGAATATTGTGTTTATGTCTGAATCTGAACCGAAACGCCATATGTCTCTTCATTCTTGTAATTTTCTTTAGAAATAGCATTAAATTATTAAATACACATGTACCACACTTTGGTACGGATAAATTGGTTGAATACCAAAGGTCAGTGGCATATGGATAATGCGAGCTCAATGGAGTACCGCTTCGTTTTGTTGCAGATCTGGTTATGTGAAAACTTGAATGATATTGATGATTGTAAAGTTTGTGTATGTAATCTGATTATGATAATACGGGCATCATTAAATGTGACAGAGTGAGTCGGTACAGCACTGAGCCACACAGGTATGCATGGCAAATAGTTATGTAG